AAATGGACTCAGTAGATATCTACAGAGTCCCATACACACACACACTGTGGCTCAGTGGTAGAGCTCTTGCCTTGCATGCACAAGGCCTCGGATTCAATCCCTAGCCCCCCGCCTCCCCTCCACTCCTGATATCTACAGAGTGTTCCAACTCACAACAACAGAATACACATTCTTCTCAGCTGCACGTGGGATGTTCTCCAGAATAGACCACAAGGTCCCGAGCTCCTTGGAGGATGAGAACAGCAGAGTTCATCAGGAAAGCCAGCATGACAAACTGCTCCAACAGAACCAACAGCTCCGTACAGCTTCTCAGCAGCTTCCAACAGGCTCCCAACAGCTTCTACCAGTTCTCAACAGCCTTCATAATTTCTTCTTCTTTAGTTTTGCCTCTTATGCTGCTGGCAGCAGTCCTCAGGTGGGTCTCCCACACCCAGCACCACACTGATTCAGTTCAGCCAGATGTCAGTCCACCACAGTATGTATGGCAAGTCTGTACCAATAAAAAAAATAAAAGTGAAGGGGAAAAAGCTGCTCTAAGGTCACCGAGCCTGCTTGGCCAGGGAGAGATCTAAGTCAAAGGATGTTACCTCTCCCAGGGGAAATGACCAACCAGAGCAGGGAAGGAGCTGCCTCGGCCTCAGACCTAATCCACTAGACATTTTGTCTTTTTCTTAAAAGTCCATGTGGGGGTGGGAGGAGAGGAGGGAAGGGCGAAGGAAGGCTTGAAGGGAGGTTGATTAATGGGTGCTAAGTTGCAGTTAGGGGTAAGATGTTCTGGTGTACTGTTGCACATTTGTGTGATCACAGATAACAGTAACGTGATGTATATTTTTATTTATTTTATTTTATTTTTGATTTTTTTGCGATAGAGTCTCACTATGTAGTTTAGGCTGGCCTTGAGCTCGTGGCGATCCTCCGGCTTCAGCTACCCAAGTGCTGGTGTTACAGGAGTACACCACCACATCTAGTGCTGTGGTGCGTATTTTTAAAAGTTAAAAATAAAGGATTTTGAATTTTTTCAAAGATAGGGGATCACCACTATTGGGGAAATGATAAAGAGCTGGAGATGTAACTCAGTGGTAGAGCACTTGCCCAGCAGGGCCAAGGCCCTGGATTTGACCCGTAGCACAGCAGAAACAAAACCCAAAACCAAAACCAAAAATGATAAATGTTGAGGAGGTAGGTATGCTTTACCTGGCTTAAACATTACACAATGTATACATGTGCCAAAACATCACACAGTGCCTTATAAATATATATACCTTTCAAGCTTTTATGTGCCAGATAAATAAATTTAACTTAAATTTTAAAAAGCCTGGTGCAATCCACTCTGTTACCCATAGCATTGCTGTCCATCATGTGCTATTAATTTGACTTTTCTTTCCTCTATTTTATTCTCCTCAGTCCCTCACTCTTGCTTCCTGGAATTACCTCCTAAGTGACTTCTTTCTTTCAATTTCTGCTTGAGACTGATAGGCAACCCCTAAAGTTAGTTTCATTAGTTCATCTTGCTTACTCTGAAAGAGCAATTTCAGGTGGCTGTGGTAGTTCACCCCTGTAGTTCTAGTACTTAGGAAGCTGAGGCAGGAGAATTACAGCAAGTTCAAGGCCAGCCTGGGCTACACAGTAAGTTCCCTGGATGAGATGGTTGAGGCCCTATCTCCAGGTATACCAATCAAGGGTATGGCCCAAGGCTCATCAATTACAATTCTTCTTTGAGATTTTTCTGTGGGTATAAGGTTTAGATTTAATTCCCTCTAAAGGTAAACCATTAGAGTGGATATGGTGGTGCAGGCCTGTAATCTCAGTACTGTGGGAGCTGAGGTGGAAGGATCAAAAATTCTGGCTCAGCCGGGGCAATTTAGTGATTTAGAGACACCCTATTTCAAAATTTAAAAAATTTTAAAAGGCTGGTAATGTAGCTTAAGGAGGCTGAGGCAAAAGAAAAAACTTGAGCCCAGCCTGGGCAATTCAGTGACTCAGTGAGATCCAGTCTCAAAATAAAAAACAAAAACAAGACTGGGGGTTATATCTCAGTGTGAAGGCCTTGGGATTAATCCCTAGTACCAGAAAAAAACAGAAACCAAAGTACTTCCCCACCAAAACCCCAATTTAGTCAGGTACATGCAGGTAATCCCAGCTACCCTGGAGGCTGGGGTGGGAGGATCACAGATTCAAAATTAATAATTAATTAATAATTAATAGTAATAATTAATTAATATAGGGTTTGGGAAGTAGTTCCGTGGTAGCTCACTAGGGTTTAACCCCCAGTACAAAAAAAAAAAAAAAAAAAAAAAAAAAA